TGTTTTTCAACTTCACATAGGTTAATGATATTCCACAGGATTAAATCTTTCTATGAAAATAATTTTTTGAAAAACTGTTGATACATGAGACAACATAGATGCATCTGAGATGTATAATGCAAAGTAGAGGAATTCAGACACAAGAGAGCACGTAGTGTATCATTTCATTTCTATGAGATTTCAGAACCAGCAAAAGCGAACTGTGATAACAGAGATTAGACTGTGGTTACCTTTGCAGGAGTTTTTGATTGATCAGGTCTGAACCTTCTGTGGTGCTAGAAATGGTCTAGTTCATCACTTGGGTGGTGGTTACACTTAATGTACGTGTCTTCACTGTGTGTAAGGTATACCTCAGTTGATTTTAAAAATGTGGTGCTGCTGCAAGGGCAGACAAAATAGACTAATAGAACAGGATTGAGAGACCTAGATATGTGTCACAGATAAATGATTATCTAATTGACAATGTCTCCACTGCGATTCAGTGAGGCAAGGGGTGGTCTTTTCAAAAAATGGTGATAAAAGGAAAATATGAACCTTGGGCATATGAAAAATAAATCTTGACCCTTTTCTCACACCATACACAAAAATATTAACTCGCTATGGAGCTCTGGTAACATAGTCCCTAAGGCACTTGACTGTGAACCAGAAGGCTGGCGGTTCAAACCCACCAGCCACTCCTCAGAAGAAAGTTTGGGCAATCTACTTCTGTAGTGATACTGCCTTGGAAACCCAAGGAGGGGTTGCTATGAGTCGGGTCCAACTCGACGGCACATAACAATAACAACAACATGGAGCATAAGCCTAAATGTGAAAACAAAGCCATAAAATTTCAAAAGAAAAATCAGGAGAACAAATTCGTTGCATTAGCGCAGTAAGAAACTTCTGAAACCCAGAACACACTCATAAAGGAAATACGGAGAAATTGGACTTCATCATATGAAGGACTTCTGCTCATCAAAAGACACAAGTAAGAGAGTGGAAAAGCAAATCACAGCCTAAGAGAAGATATCCGTGAAATACATATACACAGCACACACGTGTGTATTCTCAAATCTGGAATCTGATAGTGGAATCCGCGTGTACTCTGTGGGCTGTTTATGACAGAGAAATGGAGGAGAGTGAAGCACTGATGCAAAAGCACAAACACGGGGGAACCTTGGAGGCACACACAAACACACACATACACAAATGCATACTGCATGCTTCCGTTGATGGCAAGTTCCAGAACAGGCACAAGTGACATAGGGCAATAGCGGTCAGGAAAGCGGTTACCTTTGGAAGGAGGATCGACTTGAAGGGTGAAAAGAGGGTCTACTGGAGAACTGGAAATATCCATATCTCGGTCAGGGTGGTAGCCTGGGTGGCGCAAGCAGTTTGCTAACCGAAAAGCTGGCAATTGGACACACCCAGCAGCTCTGTAACAGAAAGTCCTGGCAGTCTGTCTCCAAAGCCTGCTGCCGGAGTCCATTCTGGCTCTTACCGCCCCTAGAGGTCAGAGGAGAACTGCCCCATAGGGTGTCCAAGTTTGTAAATCTTTACCCAAGCAAAGCCCAACCCAACCGACTCACAGCGCCCCTAGAGGACGGAGTGGAACTGCCCCATAGGGTTTCCCAGGCTGTCAATCTTTACAGAAGCAGACAGTCACATCTTTCTCCCGCGAATTGCTGGTGGGTTCGAATCGCCAACTTCTCGGTTAGCAGTCAAGCGCTTAACCACTGCACCACCAGGACTCCTCTCATAAAGTTCGCAGCCTAGGAAGCCACATGGAGAAGATTTACTCTGTAACATGGGGATGTGATGAGTGGGGGGGTGGAGCTGACTGGACAGCAGACAATAACATCCACATGCGGAAATGTTATCAAGTTGTCACTTAACACTATACAAAATTACTTTTCAATTTAAAGAGAAAACAAGTCGAAACTGGAGGAAGCTGTCTTTTAAAAGTTGTTTGCATTTTTATTTTTTTTAATCCCTAATTACGAAGAAAACAGAGCGCTGTTGGCATAATGGTTAAAGCTTTCGGCTGCTAAACGAAAAGTTGGTGAAACCAAAAGGTTGGCAGTTCGAACCCAGCAGGCGCTCCGCGGGAGAGAAAAAAAACCAGGCAGTCTTCTCCAGTGAAGATTGACAGCCGGGAGAACCCTGTAGGGCAGTTCTACCCTGTCCTAAAGAGTATCTTAGGTGTGGGAATCTGTTCAATGGCAGTGAGTTTGCTTGGAGTTTAATTACAGAGACGCGGGCTTATCTTGGGGCAGAGTCACTCTTTGGGGACGTGAGCAAAGCTGATCCGTTGGTTCACACTGACCCAAGGCCCAAGCCCTGCGTTTTCCCGGGGAGAACTACGAAGCGCCTTAAGCCTGTGCTGAGGGTCAGCGGCTTGGTCACCCGAGGTGGGT